TATATCAATTTCATACATATATCATGAAACTAATGAGAATTAAGACAAAGTATGTCAACAGGTGTGCTTTCCTTGTTAGGTTAAAGGAAAGGCTAGCAAAGCTACAAAGGTCACAAAAAGGACACATTTAGCACTGATGGGCAGAAATAAGATCTGAACTAACAGTTGAACAAATATCAGCAAGAATGATTAATACTACCACCAAAGTAATTATTAGTGTCACATAGCTCTCTATGACAACTCAAAAGCCTTAGGATGGAATATGCAGTTTGTTTTTTAAGGTAGTACATTTAACAACAATCAACTGTTATTGTCAATAAAAATGTTCAACTAACAAAATGTAACTTCTACTGTAATATAATAATTCAACAAGTGACTTCTTCTACATCTGAAGTTGTCAACAGATGATAAGTAACTTCTACTGTTATATAAAAAGTTCAACAAGTGACTTCTTCTACATCTGAAGTTGTCAACAGATGATAAGTAACTTCTACTGTTATATAAAAAGTTCACAAGTGACTTCTTCTACATCTGAAGTTGTCAACAGATGATAAGTAACTTCTACTGTTATATAAAAAGTTCAACAAGTGACTTCTTCTACATCTGAAATTTGTCAACAGATGATAAGAATAAGTTCAACAAGTGACTTCTTCTACATCTGAAGTTGTCAACAGATGATAAGTAACTTCTACTGTCATATAAAAAGTTCAACAAGTGACTTCTTCTACATCTGAAGTTGTCAACAGATGATAAGTAGCTTCTATTGCCATAGAATAAGTTCGACAAGTGACTTCTACTGCAACATAAGTTATCAAAAGATGATAATTAACATCTGCCAAAGAATAAGTTCAAGAACTTTAGGGCAACAGAAGTTATCAACAGATATTAAGTAAATTCTACTGCCAGTGAAACCAAATTTATATTGTTATAAGTAACTTTTACAGCAGCTGAAATTGTTCAGCTAACAACAAATAATTTTTACTGGCATTTTCAACTAGGAAATACTTCTACTGCCATTAATAACTAGCAACAAGACAGTTTTACTGCCACTTACTGAAACAGTTCAACTATTGCCACTGAAACAAGCAATTCGTTTTGCCTCTGAAGAAGTCCAATCAACAGCAAGTAACTTCAACTGCAGCTAAATAATTAAACTTATAAAAATGACTTCTGTTATACTGTCTAGTTACTTTTACTTTAAATAAAACATTTATTTCCTTTAACTAAAGCAGTTAAAAATGACACTGGAACTTTCAAATGACCATTGATATTTTCCCCTGTCTTATAAAAGTTATTATAGATTTGAATAAAATACATGACCTTTAAAACCCAAACAAAAGATGGAATAATCAACAAATAATTTGTAATGGCAATACAGAAAACCAATAAAAGTTATACTATCCAATTATCACAGTTATACTATCACTATGGAAGACATGTTGAGTCTTTGATGTATACAGTTTATGTGTAGGGAAGGAATTTAGAGAAGCAGATAAACTTCTTATCAACAAAATACTTTTTATTCTTTTCGTTCAAATCCTACTGATGTATTGTTAACAAAAAAGAAAGTCATGGTTAATAACTTTCAATATTGAAGGATTGGGGGTAAAGGTACATTCTCGTTTGCATTGTTTTACATTTATCATTTCAGGGCCTTTTGTAGCTTGCTATGTGGTATGGGTTTTGCTCATTGTTGAAGGTCATACGGTTGTTAACTTTTACATCATTTGGTCTCTGGTGAAGAGTTGTCTCATTGGCAATCATACCACATCTTCTTATTTTTATACTGGAGAAAATTAATGAAGTATTGGTCACACTAGTTAGTTACAAGGGAAAAGTCATCCATTTTTGGAAAATAACCTTTGAAAAGTCATTAGCTTTTGGTGTGTGACCCTTGAAAAGTCATCAGATTTTGGTGAGTGACCCTTGAAAAGTCATCAGGTTTTGGTAAGTTACCCTTGAAAAGTCATCAAGTTTTGGTGAGTGACTGGGGAAAACCATTTATCGTTTGTTTGGAATTTGTAGAAAAGCCACATCAACCTTACACGGATAACCATAAATAAACTAATGTATAAATGAGATATAAATGAGTAACAAGAAAGCTTTTAATCAACTTCTAGTGAGGAACAGTGACAAATATTCATCTGTGGTGTGAAGCTGGAAAAACATCATTATCATATGGGTAAAAGGAGAAAAACCATTAAAAAATGGGTAACAGGAAAATTAAAAAAGGCACAGTGTCCAAGTACACAAGTCAAAAATCTACAACATGGAAGTAAATAACATAAAGCAAATAAAGGGTCAGTGAACAGTGAATTCTTTTATTTCAACAAATGATGAAAGCCACCAATATTTTTTTCAAAATTGCAGAATCTATCAATCGTAATTCAGATACTGGAGAAAGAAATCAATCTTTGGTGAGATATTGGAGAAAAAACCAATATTTGGTGAGATACTTAAAAGAAAGAAACCAATCTTTGGTGAAATACTGGAGAAGAAATCAATCTTTGGTGAAATACTGAAGAATGAAATCAATCTTTGGTGAGATACTTAAAAGAAAGAAACCAATCTTTGGTGAAATACTGGAGAAAGAAATCAATCTTTGGTGAAATACTGGAGAAAGAAATCAATCTTTGGTGAAATACTGGAGAAAGAAACCAATCTTTGGTGAAATACTGGAGAAAGAAATCAATCTTTGGTGAAATACTGGAGAAAGAAATCAATCTTTGTTGAAATACTGGAGAAAGAAATCTATCTTTAGTGAAATACTGGAGAAAGAAACCAATCTTTGGTGAAATATTGAGAAAGAAACCAATCTTTAGTGAAATACTGGAGAAAGAAATCAATCTTTGGTGAGATATTGGAGAAAAAACCAATATTTGGTGAGATACTTAAAAGAAAGAAACCAATCTTTGGTGAAATACTGGAGAAAGAAATCAATCTTTGGTGAAATACTGGAGAAAGAAATCAATCTTTGGTGAAATACTGGAGAAAGAAATCAATCTTTAGTGAAATACTGGAGAAAGAAACCAATCTTTGGTGAAATACTGGAGAAAGAAATCAATCTTTGGTGAGTTACTAACTAAAAAACATCAATCTGGTTATTAAATGGAAAAAAACATCAATCTATAGTGTGTAACTGGAGAAAAACTTCAATCTTCAATGAGTTACTGGAGAAAACATCAATCTATAGTGTGTAACTGGAGAAAAACTTCAATCTTCAATGAGTTACTGGAGAAAACATCAATCTATAGTGAGTAACTGGAGAAAAACAACAATCTTTGAAAGTTGTTGTGAGTATTAAGAGAAAAGTCCATAATTAGTTTGAGAGTAACATATACTTTTGAGGAGTTACTTAATGTACAAAAATAAAATATTTCCATCTTTCCTGTGTAAGTCATGTGTTTTAATTTTTCTTTATTTCTAACTTTCTGGTTATATATCAACTTTATTTCCTTCTAATCAAAGATTTTGCAAGTAAACACTTTCATCATACAATGATAAAAGTAATTACATATTAATCAAAATGTTAGAGTGATTGAATGAGTTCAATGATCAAATATTTTGTAATGGTAATGATCATATATCTTTATTTTTTATATAAAAATAAGCTGTGGTATGATCGCCAATGAGACAACTCTCCACCAAAGACCAAGGAGATGTGGTATGATCGCCAATGAGACAACTCTCCACCAAAGACCAAGGAGATGTGGTATGATTGCCAATGAGACAACTCTCCACCAAAGGCCAAATGATGTGGTATGATCGCCAATGAGACAACTCTCCACCAGAGACCAAGGAGATGTGGTATGATTGCCAATGAGACAACTCTCCACCAGAGACCAAGGAGATGTGGTATGATTGCCAATGAGACAACTCTCCACCAGAGACCAAGGAGATGTGGTATGATCGCCAATGAGACAACTCTCCACCAGAGACCAAGGAGATGTGGTATGATCGCCAATGAGACAACTCTCCACCAATGAGACAACTCTCCACCAATGAGACAACTCTCCACCAATGAGACAACTCTCCACCAATGAGACAACTCTCCACCAAAGACCAAGGAGATGTGGTATGATCGCCAATGAGACAACTCTCCACCAAAGACCAAGGAGATGTGGTATGATTGCCAATGAGACAACTCTCCACCAAAGGCCAAATGATGTGGTATGATCGCCAATGAGACAACTCTCCACCAGAGACCAAGGAGATGTGGTATGATCGCCAATGAGACAACTCTCCACCAGAGACCAAGGAGATGTGGTATGATTGCCAATGAGACAACTCTCCACCAGAGACCAAGGAGATGTGGTATGATCGCCAATGAGACAACTCTCCACCAGAGACCAAGGAGATGTGGTATGATCGCCAATGAGACAACTCTCCACCAATGAGACAACTCTCCACCAATGAGACAACTCTCCACCAATGAGACAACTCTCCACCAATGAGACAACTCTCCACCAATGAGACAACTATCCACCAGAGACCAAATGATGTACAAGTTAACAACTATCATATAAGATTATTTTTTCCAGCATCAGTTTTTAAGAAATAAAAATCAATCCAAATCTTGAGTATTTAGGAGGTTATTTCACTCTTTTAAACTATTTTGTTATTTTCTTAGTTATTTTTTTCTAAAAAAACAGACTTTTAAAATAATATTCAGCAATGTTTTTAAGTTATGAAATAAGGATAATAAAGACATAGAATGATCTATTGTATCCCTATCATGTTTTCATGACGTTGTCCAGTGTGTTTATAAATGGTTTAAAGGGTATATTTATTGTTATTGGATTAGGCCTTTATTTTTGCGTCCTTGAAAGTGAACTTAAACATCTACCCAAGCAATATTATACCAAAACATGTAATACAATACAATATTAACATAATATTATCAAACCAGCTTCAGCAAAAGACAAGTTTATAAATAAATTCTTATTTTAAAATCAAAAACAAAACTACAATGTAGTAATGAAATAATTTGAAAAGCTTACCTCTAAAAGTGACTTTAGCCAAACGGTCGCCTTTTCCTCGTAAATTTTCAGCATATTTCAAATGCAGAACTAAAGCCATGATAGATAAATGCTTATAATAATAAAAAATAGTAGAAGAAGAGAGAGTTAAATCCCAAGCTATGTCTTAAAACATTTCCAATACATTGTTGTGAACACTGTTCACTCTCTCAGCTATTAGAATGTACTAGTTTAAATCCCACCCCATACAAATGACAACAAAAGACATTTAATCTCTACTGTACACTCTTCATTTAACACAGATGTAAACAGGCGGGTAATACACGGTAATTAATGATCAGTTCCCTCCCTTTAAGGCCCTACCATAGACAATAGGTAAACTGTTCATTGATGAGTGCTATTGATCAATCCTAATACTAATATCACAATTTCCCTTGAGCCCTATTTCTCCAAGCTTTTCACTTATATAATTCATTCCATATTTATGACTACTTTTTCTGTTGTTATGGATACCTTTTTAAGCACATATATGGGAATTTTTGTGAAAATTTATACCTGAAACAATGTGCTTTATTTTAAGTTCATGCTCGCTATAGTAATTTTTATACAAGTTTTTGGAAACGTGGAAAAAGCTATTTTCTAGTGATGAATTCAATAGTTTTATTGGATTTTTGAAAGACTAATTGGATTTCTATTGTATTTAAGAGAGCTTTATTTGATTAGGTAAAAGTATGTTATAATAACATGAATATTTTAGGTTTCTATCACAGTGAAAATGAATGCATATCTTTCTATTGTTTACTTCTATTATAGCTACTGTTACACCAAGTAGCAATAACCTCAAAGGCCTCTTTCTATCTATACACAAGAAATAAGCTCCGTAAAATCAAAAATATTTAATTGTTTAGAAAGAGTGAAACTTGTAACACTAAACCCATTTGCCTTGAACTCAGCTATATGATTTTCCTTCAGAAATATATTTTGATATAAAATTAGCCTTTTAAAGCTATAAAATTTCAAACATGCAGCAAAATAAAACTGTCTTAATCAAATAGAAATATTTGTTTCCTTCTACTATTATTTGTGTAAATGTTAATTTAAAAAAAAAGGAAGAAAAAAAAAAAGGAAAGTTCATTTCAATTATGTTTTCATCATTTTCTGTCTAAAAGCATGTTAATGTTATCCCTCAATAACTTGTCTAAACTAGTAAAGAAAGAGAGACTGAAATAACAAAATTATGAGGCATCTCAGACAGTTATCATCTCAACTGTTTGATTTTTTTTAGAGAAAACACTGAAAATCTTCTAAACAAAAAGGTAATGACCATATAAAATGCACTAAAAGTTACCACATAAACATTACTATATGGTATGAACAAATGTAATAATAATACTATCATAAAACTGCCATTACTTTTGCAATATTCATCTGCCAATAATGGACTACTGACGTCATTTGCAACTGTAATTTAATTTTCCCAGCATCCTTTGAAAACAAAGCATGTCTCGAGACCGTCTATGTATGGAGGTGACGTAACAGGTATTGGAATTCATTGATGGGACGAACCAATTATGACTGAACATGAAGATGACATGTTGTACATATGTACTATAACTGTAAATTAATTTAAAAGTTATTCTATCCTTTAACTTGTATTCCCTAGATATCTTTTATATCTAGTTATACAATAGATAATTGTGTTAATTTTCAGTAAAGCCAGATACACTTTAGCAAATAAATAGCAACAAATAGATTCATATAAACAAACCAACAGACATATTCTAGTGCAAGATCTTCTTCAGTATATCAATTTTTCATAATTATATTGTATTGTTCCTGAGTACCTGAGTACCTGAGTACTATAATAGTGTGTGATAACATTTTGTGAGGGAAATCGATGTTTGCTATACCATGGTTTATTTCAACGCACTTTATGACAATACCGCTATACCAATCAGAATGATTCTTTTTGCAGTGTTTTAAGAAATGATTTTACTTTGTATCCATGTATTGTCTGTGAAACATTAAAAGTTTTAAAAGGGCGAATTTTCTGTATAAAGTAAATAATTATGTAGACTTTTGAAGCCCAAACTTTCTATTGCCTTAAATACGCAAATAAAAGATCCGAAAACTGTACCAATACAGAACAACATGTTTTTGAAATTATAGCAAAACTTTTGGTTGACAAGTTTTTTTTTCGGTATTGCAAAAAAATGAACTTAAAATATCTGTCATTATTATGATGAGGACCGGTCATTGTTATTGAATCTTACGCAATTTGATTGGATTAAGTTATTATTGGTTTACCTTCAAACTGTTAATTTTTTTCATACACGTATATTGATTAAATCAGAACATGCATGAATGTGTACAGTAACTTAAATTACCTTCAAACTGGACACTGGACAAGTCCATATTATTTTTTATCAATGAAACAAGGTATGAAAGGTAAGAATTGCCACTTCTTATATTTTCACAAAATTTTCCACATGTAGAGTAGATAAATTATTTTTAATAGCCTGTTCCGGAGAAAAAAAAGAAAGTTTACAAATCAGATGTTTTATTACATTAAACAAGTCATTTTTCAAAGAGAAATGCTGAAATATGTTTTACACACGGTTACACCAGGTAAAATTATTATTCATCTTAACAAAAAAAAACATTTTTCAGTCTCATTATAATGTCATAAACACAATTAAACCCAAACAAAAGTAGTCTGTAAATAAAGTTAAAATATGTCCGATCTGCTGATTTTTGGACATCAAAATTCAATACTATTGTTTTAAAGGTCAATTTTGTCTACCTCACAAAATCGTGTTAGGCACTATAAAGCAGGTCTAGAAAAATTGTTATGTAATGTAAACACACCTGAAATAATATGAAATTCAACAAAATGTTTCAAAAAAATTCACACTTAATAAAAACTATAAAAAAAGCCTTCCATATTATTATTCAAAATTGTGTCTACCAAAGTTAATGAAACTCCTACAGGTAAAGGATTTTTTTTAGAGAATATAAGTTCAGAATTGACTAAATGTTTAGAATAAAAAATCTCGATGAATGATAGATATTGAACCAGGATACTATTATCAAATAAATTTACATCAGTGCTTCACATTCAAAAAGCACTTTAGTATGTTGGTGAAGTGTATAATTAGACAAAAACACAAATCTGTTTTTATATGATCCAAACAATTATGTCTAAATTGATTTCAATGTAGCATATCTATTTGAAAACCATTAATCAATAACTATTTGAATGAAAAGTAAAGAATTTTTAAATACCTGTAGTTAATGTACTTTAGAAAAATACATAAGCATTTAAATTAAATATGTAGTTTACGCTAGCAATGGGAGATAACTCTTATCTGATATCAAACCTACCAGAAGATCATGGGAGACAATTCTAATTTGATAATATGAGCATGACGAGAGACATTAGTTTGCTAAATTGGGCTTATATTAAAGAAAAGCAATTCTGCAACCAGCCTGAGGTATTAAAATATATTCTACTTTGCAGGTTTACAAGCTTCTTTCTGGTCTCACAAATAATAAGAGACATCTGGTCTCATTAAAATTTCACAAGGTTTTTAAACTGTGTTTCTATTCAAAGAATAACATGTATTATCTGTGCCATTAGGTATATTGTTAGTTCTAGATTAGGATTTTTTTATTATATTCCATCAAAATCAATTGTCTATAGTTATCAGTTTTTAGAAACATTTGAATTGTCACTTGCTAGCCTTCTTTTTCAATAACTGTAAAATTCAGGGTAGGGAAACAAGCCTGCTAATTGATTATTCAACCAAGGAATCATGAAATACTTCAATAGTACCTGAAAGTATCCACAGGAACAACTTGGTGAAAAAAATCTATGAAAGAGGAAACTTGCTATCCTAATGGTCGGGATAAAGTTGACCAACAAACTCTACAAAGAATAAGAGAATTGTCATGTTCACCAGTGGCTGCTGGAGGAAAGGTGTGGTAATCCACAAAGACAAGTAGAACTCTGTACACAGTGATAGATGAGATAACAGATTTTATCTCCAAATATATAAATATCTGCTTCGGAAAAAAATGGCAAAATAAAACAATATTTTCACCTGATTGTATTCATTTGCTGATCATTATGAAAATGACTTAACAAGGTGACAGATCTTAATAGAATAACAAAGGATGTAGGGTATCCACTACACAAAATCAGCACATGCACAGCAAAAAACAACCAAAAAGCAAAGGGAACGGGGCTTTTATTGCTGTGCTTCATCTCAAAGTCACAGTGAGGCCTTCAACACGGAGCAAAACATCTCTCACCTCACTGAAAGTTTAAGACGGCTTCTAGCAACGGTTTAAGCAGAATTCTTTGCATAAATAATTTGGATAGAATTTGCATGCTTAGTAGAATATACTCATTGACAACCTGTTGATACTGTGTGATACCACTTTCTTGCAAAATACAGATTAAACTGTTCAAAATACAGATTATTACTGTCCAAAATACAGATTATACTATTCAAAATACAGATTACACGGTCCAAAATACAGATTATACTGTCCAAAATACAGATTATACTGTCCAAAATACAGATCATACTGTCCAAAATACAGATAATACTGTCCAAATAATACTTTAAACACTTCAAAATACAGATAATACTGTCCAAATAATACTTTAAACACTTCAAAATACAGATTATACTGTCCAAAATATACTTTATACACTTCAAAATACAGATTACACTGTCCAAAATACAGATTATACTGTCCAAAATACAGATCATACTGTCCAAAATACAGATAATACTGTCCAAATAATACTTTAAACACTTCAAAATACAGATAATACTGTCCAAATAATACTTTAAACACTTCAAAATACAGATTATACTGTCCAAAATATACTTTATACACTTCAAAATACAGATTATACTGTCCAAAATACAGATTATACTGTCCAAAATACAGATCATACTGTCCAAATAATACTTTAAACACTTCAAAATACAGATATAAATACTGTCCAAATAATACTTTAAACACTTCCAAGTACAGATTATACTGTCCAAAATATACTTTATACTGTCCAAAACACAGATTATACTGTCCAAAATACAGATGGTACTGTCCAAAATACAGATTATGCTGTTGAAAATACATGTACAGATTACACTGTCCAAAATAAAGATCAAACTGTCCAAAATACAAATCATACGGTCCTATATATATATTATATTGTAAAAAATACCGAATGGCTGAAAAACTAAGCAGAGAGCAAAATTTTAATTATTTTTTCAAAGAGCAAAAAATAAGT